GTGCAGTGGCCGCTCCCGGCCACCGCAGCCTTGACCTGCTGGGCTCCGGTGATCCTTCCGTCTCAGCTTTCCAAGTAGCTGAAACTACAGGTGCGCGCTACCACGCCCGGCTAATTTTTGATTTATTGTAGAGATAAGGTCTCGTCAAGTTGCCCAGGAGGGTCTCGAACCTGCAGGCTCAGGCAATCCACTCACCCCAGCCTCCCAAAGGTGCAGGATTACAGGCTGAGCCACCGAGCCTGGCTAGAAGATTTTTTAATGTAGTGGCAGAAAGCTCAGCAGAACTGTGTCTTATAGTTATGTGGAAAGCAGAACTTATAAGGATGAACTTGAATACTTAGCTGCCTTGCAAGGTGTTGAAGGTGGACCTGATTTCTTCTTGCTGTTTTTACTAAAATGTGAGAGGAAAGGGAGAAATTAAAGGAAGAACTGTTGAGCAAAAAGAAACTGGTCTTGGCGTTCAGGAAACTCTCAGCCTACTTATATTGCCAACTATGCTAAAATTAGGACCTTCACTGTAAGGAAAATATGCTTTGAAGAGACATCCAAGAATGTACCTGGACAATCTCTTGCTAGTGTCTAGGAAGGATCAAAGGTGAGAGTATTCACTCACACAATGGGTCCTTTGAAGAGAATTGGCATGTGACTCATGGGTCTCCTTAGTCATCCAACCAATAACCAAGAATAGAAATGGGATTGTTCAAAAAGATTTGTGGCAGAACCTCTTGTCTAATGGAGTGACTACCTGAGACATACATAGGAAATCCACAAGGTTCTTGAAAACATCCCACAAGCAGAAACACTGCCAGCTTGCACTGAAAGGGACAGAGAGAGGGCAAAATGAAAGAAACAATCAGACTCTCAAGATTCTACATCCAGGAAATAACTTATAAAAACATATGGAAAGGGGAGGATGACACTAAGGGCAGAACTGAATGAACAAGAGAGGGAGCCCAGACACCTATTGTTGTTTTCCCAGTTGGGTTTTGAAATTCCTTCAGACCAGTAACTCCTTTTTTTTCTTTCCATTTTTTCCCTTTGTGACTGTCTAGCCAAAGCTAGTAATCTTGAAAATTCTTCTCTGAAGCCTCCAGCAGGAACACAGCTCTGCTGACCGGTTTTAGATTTCTGATCTCCAGGACCGGAAAATAATATACATATATTTTTTTAGTTGGAGTCTCACTCTGTTGCCCAGACTGGAGTACAGTGGCACGCTCACAGCCACTACAGCCTCAACCTGCTGAGCTTAGCCAATCCCTCCGCCTCAGCCTTCCAAGTAGCTGGAACTACAGATGCATGCTATCACGCCCGCCTAATTTTTTTGTGATTTATTGTAGAGATGAGGTCTCACCAAGTTGCCCAGGCTGGTCTCAAACCCCCGAGCTCAGGCAATCCTCTTTCCTCAGTCTCCCAAAGTGCTGAGATTACAGGCTGAGCCACCATGCCCTACCATAAATTTGTTTTGTAAGCCACTAAATTTGTGGTAATTGGTTACCACTGCATAGGAAATTAATATAGTATTAAAAGGCTGAGCCAGGTGCAGTGGCTCACACCGTAATAATAGCAATTTGGGATGCGGAGGCAAGAGGAATGCCTGAGTCTAGGGATTTGAAACAAGCCTGGGCAATTTGGCGAGACTTCGTCTCTACAATAAATCAAAAAATTAGCTAGGCATGGTGGCACATGCCTTTGGTTCCAGATACTTGCAAGGCTGAAACAGAAGTATCACCTGAACCCAGCAGGCCATGAGCATGCCACCGCACTTCAGCCTGGGCAACAGAATGAGACTCCTACTCAAAATAGAAAAGAAAATAAAAGACTGCAACATATGTCCGAACTTTCTGCTTGAAACACAGAAATCCACCGGGTGCTGTGGCTCATGCCTTAATCCCAGAACTTTGGGAGGCAAAGACAAGAGAACTGCCTGAGCCCGCAGGTTCGAGACCCACCTGGGCAATTTGGCAAGACCTCATCTCTACAATAAAAATTGTTTTTAAATTAGCTGGGCATGGTAGCACGTGCCTGTAGTTCCAGCTACTTGAAAGGCTGAAGTGGAAGGATTGCCTAAGCCAGCAGGTTGAGACTGTGATGGCCGTGAGCCTGCCACGGCATTCCAGCCTGGATGACAGAGTAAGACTCTGACTCAAAAAAGAAAGAAAGAAAGAAAGAAACTTTGGTATTTATACTGTTGGAGATCAACTCTAACTGTAATATTTGGTTTACAATTTATGATCAATCCCGGGCTTCTCTGAGAAGGGAAGCAGTCTAGGAGTCTATTCTGAATCTGTCACCCTCTTCCTACCTAAGTGACAGCCAAGCCCACCCAGCTCTGCACGAATCATCTCATTTCAGCTTCATAGCAACCTTATAAAGTATCTACTGATGTTGTCTCCATTTTACAGATTAGGAAATTGAGGTGAAGAGAGAAGTATCTTTCCCGAGGCCATGCATTCTAGTAAGTAGAAGTTCCAAGATTCAGATGAAGAGATTCTTAACTATTATGCCCTCTGTCAAATTAAAATTGCACTTTTCACTCTTTCATTGAGGCCCAGGATGCATGTATCCACCACAGTCCAGTTAGGAACAACAGTACTAGCAAATGTGGCCACATCCTCACTTTTGAGATGGGCTTTCCGTAGATGTCGTGAAAACGATCTCCCTTCAGTTAACCTTCTTCCAACAAGCAGAGTACAATAAAATCAATGTGGCACAAACGTTCTTAATTACAATGAAATCCCAGCCCCATCTTCTTGAGATTAACATCAGATCACCTTGATTAGAATCGCATTTGGGGTTTTCCTAAAGTTTTCAATCACAGCCATGTCTGAGGTTATATTACTTTAATAGATGGCTGGGCTCATCCATGACAGCTTGATTCTTTTTAATCATCTCCAGCATTTAATTTTTTGTTGTTGCAGTTTTTATGGTTTTATTTAAACACAAAACATGCACATGAGCCGTCTATTCATTTTCTTCACTGCACAGCCTGGTATTAGGATCAGTGACTTTGATGTCCAGCTGGGCTGCTCTTTCTACAATGGCTTTGCGGTTCTTGGAGGAAAAGTTGTGAGCAATCTCAGCACAATAAGATTTGTTGCACATCAGCAGCACTTCCAGCTCCTTGACATTGTGGTTCAGTAACTTCTGGGAGCCACTGGGCAGCATGTCTTTTGTTTTCTTGTTGCTCCCGTAACCAATGTTGAGCATCAAGATCTGGCCCTTGAATCTTCTACACACCCTGTTGTCAATACCTCTGGGCTTCCGCCAGTTACGCTTAATCTTGACATATCGGTCTGACTGGTGCCAGATGAACTTCTTGGTTCTCTTTTTGATGATCTGGGTTTCACCAGGGGTCTGAGGGCAGCCATGATGCCTTTAAAATGCAGATGACACTGCAAGCTGAATGTTTGCATAGTGCCAGATAGGCGAGGAAGAGCTAGCTTCAGCATTTAAACATATTCAATTCTCGTCTTTTCAATTTTTTAGAGTCACAATCCAAGATAAAAATGAATTTTATATGGCAAAGCAGCTTATATGTATATAAATCCACTGGAGACAAAGATTTTGCAGCACCCTAAACAACCTAGCTGGTGCAACATCATCTCTACAATAAAACAAAAAATTAGCCGGGTGTGTGGCACACGCCTATAGTTCCAACTATGTGGGAGACTGAGGCAAAAGGATCCCCTGAGACCAACAGGTCGAGGCTGCAGTGACCATGAGCATGCCACTGCATTCCAACCTGGGCAACAGAGTGAGACTCTGATCAGAAGAAAAATTTCTGAATGCCTTAATATGGCCTATCAAGCCCTCCATGACTGGGCCCTTGTGTTATCTTTCCAGCCTCAATGCCATTCCTTTCATTCTACCCTTCACTCCATAAGACTACTTTCAGCTGGGCACAGTGGCACACACCTGTAATCCCAACATTTTGGGAGGCTGAGGCAGGAGAATTGCTTGAGCTCAGGAGTTTGAGACCAGCCTAGACAACATAGGAGACCTTGACTCTAAATAATAACAAAGATTTTTTTAAAAAAGGACTACTTTCAGTTTCCAAACTTGTTTTCCCTTACCTCTGGGTTGATGAACTCAGCAGTTCAAGACCAGCATGGACAACTTGGTGAGATCTCGTCTCTACAATAAATCAAAAAATGAGCCAGGCATGGTGGCACACACTTGTAGTTCCAGCTACTTGGAAGGCTGAGTTAGAAGGATTGCCTGAGCCCAGCAGGTTGAGGCTTCAGTGGATGTGAACATGCCACTGTACTCTAGCCTGGGCAACAGAGTGAGACTCCAACTCAAAAAAAAAAAAAAGAAAGAAAAAAGACATCTTCAGCCAGGAGTGGGGGTAGCAAAATCTGATTTGCTGTCTAAGCATTTTGAATAGATTTAGGTAGGTGGCAGGGCTAGGCCAGAGGGGAATAAACCATTGATAATGCAGATAATGTCACCTAGGCAAGAGATGATGGTGTCCTGCACTAGGGTGATGGTAAAGGAAGGGGAGAACCAGACAGACTTGAAAGAGTGTTAAGAAATAAACTTCACAGTATTGGGGACTAGCTGAGAAGAGAAAGGTGTGTGAGTGGAGGTGAATTCTAAGTTGGACAATAGGTGTCTTAGTGGTGCCTTCTGGGTGGGGTGGGGTGGGGAATCCAGAGGAAGATCATGCCTGCAGATGGAGAGGAAGGTGAGGAGCTCTGCTTGGGGACATGGTGAATTTGAGTAGCCTATGGCACACCCAGCAGGTGGCTAGACATTAAAGACTGCAGGTGGGGAACAGAAGTCGAGGAAGAGTGGACAGAGATAGGAAGAAACACAGAGGGCATACAGGAGTTATAGATGCCAAGAGAGTGGGAGTCAGAAAGGAAATGACTAGAGACAAAGGGAAAATACGACTGAGGCTCCTCCCCTCAGGCACCCCCTCCCACTTCCACAGACACAAATGCACTGGTGGTTTCTTTTGACAGCAGTTTTATTTGATTTGAAAGAGAAACTCAGACCCTCGCCCATCCCACTGATCACGGGATCACAGTCGAAGTAGATTTGTCCTGAGGGTCATCGATCTCTTACCAGGACTTGAAGAGAGTATATGGGTCACATCTATATGTCAGGGCGGGAAGCGACTGCTGGCTGGGTGGGACTTGGCCATGGGCCAGGAAAGGGATAACTAGTGCCACCCCTTAGACACATGCAGAAGATAGACTAATTCAGGACTAGTGGTAAGGTCTGGGCTTAGACAGGTTTAGGGCAGGGCCAGAGAGCTCTGGACCAAGGGGTTCAGTAGCTGTGAGTAGAAGACTTGTCCAGCTCACTACGCTGCTCCTTCTGGGACTCCGTCACCACCTGCTGGGAGCAAGGCATACGAGGGGCACAGGCCATTCAGTCCCACCCTCCTTCCAGATCCTTTGGATCATGATTTTCTCTCCCTGGTATACCCAGCTGAGGCTGCAGTTTATCCATCCACCTTCTCTATCTCTCCCCGAGAACCATTCATCCATAACACATCACAGGCAGCCAAGCTGGGGCTCAGAAATAACACGGAGAACGATGGTGTCCTGGGATCAGGGACCTGTCTCACCTCCCCATCCCGGGTCTCAATGGTCTTGATTAGAACCATCTTCCGGCTCTGGATGTCCTGGGGAGGCTCCACCTCAGGCACTGGAGAAAGCAGGAAGAGGGGTGAAAGCGGAAGGCTCGGGGTTTCTCTCCAGTTATGCCCGCACTCCCATCCCTGAAGGCATGGGAGGGGCGGGGCACGAGGTGTAGGGCGGGGCATGAGGAGTGGGGGTGGAGCATGAGGAGTGGGGGCGAGGCCTGAGGAGTGGGGGCGGAGCATGAGGAGTGGGGGCGGAGCATGAAGAGCGGAGGCGAGGCATGAGCAGCGGGGCGGGGCATGAAGAGTAGGGGTGGGTATGGCCAGGACCCAGAAGAAGAGCCTGATCAGACCAGAAATGGACAAGGGGAGGTACAGGCTGGAAGCCAGACGTGGACTCACCAGTGGTCTTTATACTTAGAGAAGCAAAGGAATGGATGGGCACGGAGATCCTGGGGGCAAAGCACGTGGTCGGTGCCCCTGCGAGACACGCCCCTTCCGCCTACGCCCCATCCCGGCCACTCCCTGCCCCGCCCAGCCGCCCCGCCCCTCACCGGCTCTCCTCGCCCTCCAGCAGCTTGCGGTAGGTGGCAATCTCGATGTCCAGGGCCATCTTGACGTTGAGGAGCTCCTGGTACTCGCGCAGGTGCCGCGCCATCTCCTCCTTCAGCTGTCGCAGTTCCTCCTCGAGCCTCGCGGCGCCCGCCTGGTACCCACCCGCCTCCAGGGCAAACTGCTCCTCCAGCTCCCGCATCTGTCTGAGCAGCGCCTCGTTCTGGGATGGGGGAGAGGAGCAGGACGGTCGGGGAACCTTCCATCGTCCGCTCCCCGGACCTGGGCGTGCAGCGTCGTACTCACTGTGCCGCGCAGCCCGTCCACTTCGCACGTCAGACTCTGGATCTGGCGTCGGGACTCATTCATCTCCTGTTTGGCCTGTCGCAGGGCCTCGTGGTTCCGGTTGGCAGCGTCGGACAGGTCCGCGTACTGTGAAGGGGACGGTAACTCGGGCTTGAGCCGGCTGGGACGCGCGACACCACTCCGGCGCCTCCCGCTCCCAGGCCCTCCGGGCTCTGGCACCTTGGACTTGTACCACTCCTCCGCCTCCTGCAGGTTCTTCGCGGCGATGCTCTCGTACTGCGCGCGGATGTCCCTCAGCGCCGCCGTCAGCTCCGGCTTCACCGTTGCTTCCACCTCCACCTGCTGCACCTGCTGGCTCTCCACACTCACCTGCAGGTCTCGCAGCTCCTGCGGCCCGGGGTGGGCAGAGAATGAACCGACGGCGCCAGTCCCAAGCGGACCGTGCAGTTCGCGCACAGAACACAGCAGAAAGGCTTGAATGAACAAAGAGGGGCGCCAGGGAGTGCTGCGCGCAAAGGACTGCGCGACCTGCGTGGCGGCTGGCGCCAAAGCGGCTGCCCGGTTACGAGGATGCAGTCCCGCTGTCTGCCACCAGGTGGCGCAAGGGTGGGAGCCTAACCACCTGTAGAGGGGCTTTGAGTGCACCTAGCGAATCTCACTTCGCATCTCCGGGGGTATCCCCCGCTCCACCCGCCAGCATCCTCCAGAGCTTCGTCTCCGAAGCTGCAGCGAGACCACCCCCCGACCTCGGAAGCCTGCCCCGTCGACCCACCTCCTCATGCAGCTTCTTGAGGAACTCGATCTCATCCATCAGAGACTCAATCTTGCGCTCTAGTTCCAGGCGGGACAAGGTGGCGTCGTCCACGTCCTTGGAGAGGCGGCAGTAGGGGTTCAAGAGAAGGGACGGGCTGCTCAGGTCGAGGAAGGGCTGGGCCTTCCCTGTCTGCCTCGGGAGGCGTCTGGCTGCTGCCCCCCGCGCCCACGTCGGCCACCTCTGGGCAGTTGTAAGGGTGAGAGGCAGAACTCGACGTGGAGCCGGGACTCACCTTGCGAAAGAGCACGAGGTTGTGCTCGGCGTCCTCCCGCTTGCGCGTCTCCTCCTCCAACCTGGCGCGAAGAGTTTGCAGAGGCTGAGCTGCGGGGTGTCACCGCCCAGCTCTCACCCCAGACAGCGCCTCCCAGGATCTGGTTAGGGGCCGTTGCTGCAGCCCAGGACACTAAAGGGAGCTTCAGGGTGCCTGATGGGATTGCCCCCATTCTCTTTCTAATCGGCTAGGCGCTGAGAAGGAGTCCCTTATGCACAGGGAGGCATGGGTACCCCCTCCCCCACCTCCCCAGACACTGAGAACAGGGCGGGGCGTGGAGCCCGCGGGAGAGGCTGCCGCCTACACAGGCTCGAGTGGGCAAGAAGAGCCACACCCCTGCGCTGCTGCGGGGTGAGGGGAGGGGAAGGAGGAGAGGCCGCCTCGACGGCCGCCGCCCCGCTCTGCCGCCTGACCTCTGCTTGAGCGCCGCCAGGTCCTCCGCCAGCCCGTCGCGCTCCACCTGTACCCGGTCGCGCTCGCGGCCCAGCAGCTCCAGCTCCCGCCGCAGCTCGCGCAGCTCCTGCTGGCACAGCTGGTCGGCACGCGCCGGCTCCTGGCCCCGGGCCTGGCTCAGCTCCCCGCGCAGGGCCGCGTTCTGCTGCTCCAAGAAGCGCACCTTCTCGATGAAGTTGGCGAAGCGGTCGTTGAGCTCCTGCAGCTCCTGCTTCTCGTTGCTTCGCGTGGCCAGGAACTCCTGATTGAGGGCCTCGGCCATGGAGAAGTCGAGGCGCTCCGAGGGCAGGCGCAGAAGGGCGCCCGCGCCCGCCCGGGGGCCGCGGAAGCTTCCCAGGCGCACCGAGGAGCTCGGGGATGCCGAGCCCAGCAGGCGGCTGCTCGAAAAGCGGGAGCCGGACGAGTAGGAGAAGGCCCCGGGGGACAGCGACGGCGGTGGCCCGAAGGTGCGGCGGTACGAGGTGGAGCTGACGCTGGCCCGGAGGCCCGACGGGTGGTGGCTCATGGCGGCCGAGGATGGGAAGTCACCGCTCGCGGAGCTAGGCCGAGGGCTGGGAGGGAGCCGCAGACCGCTGCGAGGTGGCTTTATAGCCCTGCGGTCTCAGGGGGGCCACGGGCAGCTCCTCCCACTGGCCTGACCGCCCGCTGGCGCGGGGCTGGGTGGGGAGGGGGTTGCCCCACCCCTGCGGAGCAGCGGGAGCGCCGCACCCTCCGTCGCTATGGCTGGAGCGCTGCCCACTTGGTTGCCCCCTGTTGCTGGAAGGAAGCAGAGCTGGCGACCACAGGCAGGCCGGGAAGGGGGCCACACCTTCCAGCAAGCGACTAAAGCTGGAGCCTAACTTGGGTGGGCTGACTTGGGCTGCGGTCCCTGCCTGAAAGAGCTGGGACATGAGGACCTGGGGTGAAAGGGCAGTTTGGGGCACATGAGCAGGGAGGAGACCAGGAGAGGGAGAGCTGGCCTAGGTAGGCCCCAGAGCTTGTGCCCTGATTTGCCTCCTGGAGGCTGGGCACCTGCTAACCCCCTCCTTCACCACACCCAGAGAGATATGGGGACAGGAGGGCAGAGGCAGAGGGGGCTGGGGAAGGGCTGGTCTCTCCCTAGTCCCCAGGGCCCCGTGAAGGGCTGGTGCCTGGCGCCAGCTCTGCGGCTAATGGACTGACTAGCTCCCCTCCTCCTCCCCTGAACACTTGGTCCAGCAGAGGTTGTCTGCTGATGTCTCAGCTTTAAAGACACAGCCCCCAAACCTGGACTTACCCCCAAGCCCCAACAGGGTGGGCACATCATAGGGAACTGAGGGTGGCTGGGCCCAACTCTGGATCCTACTGGGGAGGGGTCTACACCATGCCAGAGGCTAAGCTGAGTGGGCCTGTTGTATGCTGTCTGGGTTTACTGGATCCACCTCCCCCCACTGGCTGCTGCTCAGTCATGGGCCTTACGGGAACCAGAGCGATTTCTGAGGTAGGAAGGGGAGGGGGTGGAGGGGCGAATGCTGCCAAGGCTGCATGAGGGATGGACTGGCAGGAACCGGTTTCCAGTATTGAGAAGTTACAGGTACCCAGGGATGGGTGGGGCTGGATGGGGAAGAGATGGGGAGAGAGAAAGTGCCCATCCCCAGCAGTCTGAAGGAAGAGAGACAAGGCCCCGAACAGACCCACAAACCCATGCACACAAACAGAAGCATGTGCAAAGCCCCCGTATACCTATGTGCATACACAGAACACACACCGGTACACACACACCCACACATCCCCTCCTACCCTCGTCGCACCCCCAGTTAGCAGGAAGGCAGATGTCTGGCCTTTGTGTGTCAAACAGCTTCCAGAACGCAAGTACAGGCTGCCCAGGAGTGGACAGAGGCAGCTTGGATGGTCTGCAGGAGCCAGGTTGCTGAGGCCTGTTGGGTTTGTCAGGAACCATGGGGCTGGGACTGCCACTGCCGCTGCGCTGCCGGGACTCCAGGACTCTCCTGTGGGGCAGGTCACCCTCTGATTGGCCCTGCAGACAAGAGTCGGGTGTCTGAGGAAGCAGGTTTGGGGCTCCAGATCTCTGACTGGGGGTGAGGAGGGCGGCTCCCTGGCTGGCCAGCTCCTTGGTGTTTCGGGGTAAAGGACCCCGCCCCCCTCTGTGTGTCCTCTGAGATGGTCCAGGGCCAACGCCCGCCTGCCGGCTCACGTCCCCGCCGCCTTCGTCTCCTCCCCAGGCCCCTCCTTCCTCCCGGGCCATTAGTCTCTCCCTGCACAGCTGCCAGGTCCTGCTCCTTGATGAGTCTGGTTTGTTGCCAGGGGAATGGAAAGAGGGAGGATGGGAGAGGGGGACAGGATGGATGAACCAGGGCCTGTCCTCCCGAACTCTGGAGACTGAAGAGGGCTAGGACCCTGCCTGGGGTTGGGGAAGGGGGTTTGGCAGGTGTGAGGAGGAAACTGGAGAGGCCTCAGTACTTTCTGCCTCAGCCCTGGGCACTGAGCTCCAGCTGCCACTGGCTTGGGGCCCCTGTCCTCTCGGTCCCACCTTCCAGGAGCAAATGCACGGGGAGGGGCAGGTGAGGCCTCGGAGGACCAGCTTAGGCCCTGTCTGCAGGGCGCTGGTGGTAGACTCGGGCCCGGTGAAAGCAGAGGCAGTTGGGCCTGGACCCATGTGTTCCAGACAACATTCCCATCCCCACCTTTGCTTAAGTGCTCTGCTCACCACCCAGATGCCTCAGAGGAGAGGAGACCCTGCGGCCTTCCCAGCAGGCCTCTGAAGCCATTTGGTGAGTGAGGCCAGGCCTGGGTGGAGAAACTGCAAGTCAGAGGAGGCTCCTCCCCACACTTGGAAGAAGCCAGGAGCCACGCAGTAGCTCACACCTGTAATCCCAGCACTTTGCGAGACAGAGGTGAGAGGATTGCCTGAGCCCAGGGGTTCGAGACCAGCCTGGGCAACTTGGCGAGACCTCATCTCTACAGTAAATCAAAAATTTAGCCTGGTGTGGTATTGTGTGCCTGTAGTTCCAGCTACTTGGAAGACTGAGACAGAAGGATCACCTGAGCCCAGCAGATTGAGGCTGTGGTGGCCACAAGTGTGCCACTGCACTCCAGCTTGAGTGACAGTGTGAGACTCCGACTCAATGAAAAGAAGGAGCCGGGAGATCTTGGGCCGGAACAGAGGTAGGAAAAGAGCCTTCATTGATAGCTGGGACTTTGGGCTTCAGCTATCCAGTCTTTTCATCTGATCCCCCTACCCTCTATTGCATGAACTTAGGCTTGTTGGTATGTACCTCCATGCCCCTCAGTAAAATGGGGGTAATTGTAGCTTCTGCCTCCTAGTGTTGGCAGGAAGATTAAATGAATAAGTACATGCAAAATGCTTAGGACACACATGCTGAAGCCTGAATGTGGGAGCTATTATTACCATTACTATTGTTATTATTAACCTCCCAAGGGATATTGTCAGCCTCTGAGGACAGTGAAGGTCTGGGTGTCTTTTGGATTGCCCCCCCTAGTGGCCAAGAGCAGTGCTGGACCCAGGTGGGAGGAGCCCAGTGCTGATGGGTGGAAGGGAGGTGGCCTCATCCTTCCTTAGTGTGCAGGTTCTCTTGGCGGATGCCAGGGTGCAGTCGTGGCTACTCACCTTAACGAGCTGTGTGCTTTGGGTTTTCATGAGTGACTTAGCCTCTGGTCACCCCATTTTCTTTATCCATAACTAAGGATGATAATAATAGTACTTACCTCATAATGTTGAGGATTACATGAATTACAATGCGCAAAGCACTTCATTCTTGGCACATGCTGTAGAAGTGTTATCCAGTGTTATGGTCACCTTCCTCCTCCTGCCTCCCTTGGCTGCTCTGGTGAAGGCTTGGAGGGAAACGTTCAGGGGTTTGCAAGGAATGTGAGCGACAAGGTTTGGGTTACTGGCAAGAGTGCTTCGAAGTGACAAGCTGTGGGCTCAGAACTGGGTTAGGAGGAGCATGCAGGCAAAATGGGGTGGGGGGTATTGGGAGGGTAAAGAGATCTGTAGCTGGACCCCCAGGCAAGGCCAAAGAACAGCCACAGCACAAGGACATGCCAAGCTCATCCCAGCCAGACCCTCTGCTCTGGCATGTCCCCAGTGCTTGTAACTAAGTGTCAGCTGGGGTCTCTCCGCCCCACAGGGACTAAGATTGGCTCACACCTCCCCTCCACATCCTGGGGAACATCCAGTGTCCTCCCCAAGAGTCTTTGGCCTTCCTAAAGACTTCCTCTGTAAGTACCTGCTGCCCCTGAACTGGCTGAATTTACAGTTCCCCTCGCGATGTCCCTATGTGAAATCAATTGTGTCCCTTGGTTCCCATGGTCCCCTTTTCCTATCACTTAGGTAGGACCACGGCTCAGAGGATGCACAGTGAGCTAACAGTGGCTCCCACTCTGGGAGGGTACATCCTGGTGGGTCAGGCCCAGGCTGGCTCTGCTGGTGTTCTGTGCTCAGGGCCCGCAGGATCAAGGTGCACCTCAGGCAGAGGGAGTCTCACTTTTCTTTTTTAGAAAATATAGTTTATTTACAAAGTAAATTAGAGAGAGAGAAAAGATTCACCTCCCCAAGGTAGAGGAGAGTGTCAAAGCTAAGAAAAAATGGCGGCCATAGTTCAAAGAACACATGGCCTGGCCAGTGCTTAACAAAACAATGAAAGGCCCAGGCCCAGCCGGGCTCAGTGGCACAGCCTGTAATTCTGCGCCTTGGGAGGCTGAGGTGAGTGGATTGCCTAAGCCCGCAGGTTCGAGACCCGCCTGGGCAACTTGGCGAGACCTCATCTCTACAATAAATCAAAAATTACCTGGGCGTGGTAGCGCGCGCCTGTAGTTCCAGTTACTTGGAAGGCTGAGGTGGAAGGATCGCCGGAGCCCAGCAGGTCGAGGCTGCGGTGGCTGGGAGTGGCCACTGCATTCCAGTCTGGGCGACAGAGTGAGACTCCAACTCAAAAACAAAAAACAAAAGCTGGGCTTGGTGGCTCAGCCTGTAATCCCGCACCTTTGGGAGGCTGAGGTGAGAGGATTGCCTAAGCCCGCAGGTTCGAGACCCGCCTGGGCAACTTGGCGAGACCTCATCTCTACAATAAATCAAAAATTACCTGGGCGTGGTAGCGCGCGCCTGTAGTTCCAGTTACTTGGAAGGCTGAGGTGGAAGGATCGCCGGAGCCCAGCAGGTCGAGGCTGCGGTGGCTGGGAGTGGCCACTGCATTCCAGTCTGGGCGACAGAGTGAGACTCCAACTCAAAAACAAAAAACAAAAGCTGGGCTTGGTGGCTCAGCCTGTAATCCCGCACCTTTGGGAGGCTGAGGTGAGAGGATTGCTTGAGCCCGCGGGTTCGAGACCCGCCTGGGCAGCGAGACCTCATCTCTACAATAAATAAAAAAATCAGCCGGGCGTGGTAGCGCATGCCTGTAATTCTGGCTACTTGGAAGGCTGAGGCGGAAGGATCGCCGGAGCCCAGCAGGTCGAGGCTGCGGTGGCCGGGAGCGGCCACTTCACTCCAGTTTGGGTGACAGAGTGAGACTCCAACTCAAAACAAACAAACAAACAAACAAACAAAAACCAAAATATAATTCTAGGTTGTTTTTTTGCACACACCCCCATATGTACAGCTAATGCCTAAATGCCAAGCACTATGATTAGCATTTAATATAGTTTATCACTTCTCATAAAAACCCTATGAAATAGGTAGTTACTATTCCCATTTTACAGATAAAAAAACTGAGGCACAGAAAGGTTAAGAAACTTGCTCATGGTCACATAGCTAGCAAACTAGTAGTCTGTCTATATCTCTGATTCCCCCCTCCCAGACAATATGATCTTTGAGATCAGTGATCAGGTCTTACTAGCCTCTGCCTTCATCCTTGGTGTCCAGGGTGGGCGGGACCTAAGTCAACTGAACGTAAGGCACCATAAAATCTCTCGGTTGCAGATACCTAAAATAAAGAGAGATATGTTGCTGCCACCTTCTGGTCAGAAACCAGAATTACATGTTTGGAATTAATGCATTTGTGATAGTTGAGTGCAAGACTCAAGGCTTCCGTAACGTTGGAATTTGGGGGATGCTTAAAAAAAAAATTTTTTTTTTTGAGTTGGAGTCTCATTCTGCGCTCATACTGGGGTGCACTGGCCGCTCCCGGCCACCGCAGCCTCGACCTGCTGGGCTCTGGCGATCCTTCCGCTTCAGCCTTCCAAGTAGCCGTAACTGCAGGCGCACACTACCACGCCCAGCTAGTTTTTGATTTATTGTAGAGATAAGGTCGCACCAAGTTGCCCAGGCGGGTCTCGAACCCGCGGGCTCAGACAATCCACTCACCTCGGACTCCCAAAGCGTGGGATTACAGGCTGAGCCACCGAGCCCAGCTTCAAAAGTATTTATTGTGACATCTTTATTACAGATGAGAAGACTTACCCAAGGGGATATGAAACAGAGCGGCGCTGGTGTTATGAGTTTGGAGCCCTGATCCCATTCTTCCCCTGGGTTCTAGGGGCCGCTTCTGTTCCCCAAGGCAGGAGGGCAAAATCAGTCCTCAACCCACCCGCATGCTCTGCTGTGTCCACAACCTCCGGTCCCTGCCTCACTGTAATCCCGGTCTCCATCTGCCTCCTTTTGTACCAGTGACTCCTCAGCTGGAGAACAGGAGAGAATGTGTTGTGCTCAGCAAGCCACATTCTGTGGCAAGATGCTAAGTGAACCTCAAGGTGTGGCCTGGGGATCTCCCTGAGAGTCCTCGGGGACCATTAGAAAGCAGAGTCAGTCGGGCTCAGTGGCTCAGCCTGTAATCCCGCGCCTTTGGGAGGCTGAGGTGAGTGGATTGCCTGAGCCTGCGGGTTCGAGACCCGCCTGGGCGGCGAAACCTCATCTCTACAATAAATCAAAAAATCAGCCGGGCGTGGTAGCACATGCTGGTAATTCCGGCTACTCGGAAGGCTGAGGCGGAGGGATCACCGGAGCCCGGCAGTCGAGGCTGCGGTGGCCGGGAGTGGCCACTACACTCCAGTCTGGGCGACAGAGTGAGACTCC